AACTCTTGTTAAGTGTATGGAATGCGTGTATTTCCTTGTGGTATATGTTTGAGAGTAACGGGATTGGTGATGGGTTGACTTGTCCACATTGATTAATTCTAATGATGAAAAAAAAGGTATAACAAAAGGCAATGTGATTAATTGTTTATGTGTGATGTGTTGAGAAAGGTTTGAAGGCTTGTTGAATCATTGTTGATGTGATTTCATGTTTGTGTGGCTGTGAACTGTGCAATGTTATGAAAATGGTCCATCTCCTCATTATTTGTGTGAACATGTCATTTGCATTATTCTAAGGCATTGGTTGTGACAAGTGTTATATGCATTGAGAAAGAATGAGTACTTAAGAGGATGTACCATTTCGAGAGACGTATCGCGCGCCGCGATGGATACTATATTTCGAGGGACGTATCGCGTGTTGCGATGGTTACTATTGTCGAGGGTCGTGTCATGCGCCGCGACATATGCATGGACAGATATGTCCCCAATGGGTCCCGGACTGAGAGACAGCGGGTGTGTATCACTAGGTCAGACATGCATCATTATACTTGACATTGCATTCCATTGCAATGCACATGCTTATCATTGGTGAACTTGATATTGTGTTTTGCTGATCTTGTGAATGCTTTTCTGTGGAACTTGTGATTGATGAATACTGAGTTTGTTCTTGAGGATATAAAATTTGTTATAGAATTGTTTTTGAGGATATGTATTTTACCAAAGTGTTGTTGTTGAGGATATGTAATTTGTCCAAGTATCGTTGTTGAGAATATGTAACTTGTCTAGGTGTTGTTGTTGAGTTATGTGCTATGTAAATTGTGAGTTGTTCGGTGAACTGAATTTTATGCAGGTTGTAGTTTTGAAGGTTCGGTTGGGGTGGTAGGAGTACTTGTATTTCATCCCCTTAGCTTGTGTTTAGAGGTTTACTTGTTGAGTACCGTGTGGTTTGGTACTCACCCCTTGCTTCTACAATTTTTTTTGTAGGTTATTAAGCCTAGATTTTTGTTGTACTTGTCATTCTCTTCTTTTCCGAGGCTTCTTGGAGATTTGTGAGGTAGTTGTTTGTCGTTTCAGCGGACACTCTTTATTCATAGTTTTGATCTTGTTCTATTCTAGAAACAAGTTCATTTGAGACTTATATTTTCGTTTGATTCAATTGTAATACTTTAGAGGCTTGTACACGTGACCACCAAGTTTTGGGGTATAATGTAAGTTGATAGTAAATTTTTCGCATTTTATTGTAATAGTTGAGTTTTAGACTGACTTGTCTTGGTGGGATAAGACGAGTGCCATCATGTCCATTTTTGGGTCGTGACAAATTATTAAGATATAAGCATAATCATTATTTATTAACTTTCATATAATAAATAGATATCACAATAACTCATAAAAAATGAAGAAATAACAAAAATGAGGTTACATTAATAATAATACTTAAAGATGTTTCTAGAACTATTTAATTTTCTTGTTGTCATTCTTGGTAGATTTATCCTTGCATGAGTTACATCTTTACCTTTGGTCATCATTCACTTCATATGTAGAAGATGTTTCTAGAATTTTTAAATTCTTGATAAATTTTTATTTGAACGAAATTACATTTTATTCTTAGTTGTCTTTTATACAAATATATCATCCTAATCATTTTTATTTGTTAAGTTACTTTTTAACATCTTTTTCTTTAATTCAATCTAATATATATTATTAATTTTGTCACACTTATTTATTTTCAATTATATTAATTAGAGCCAAAATAAAAATGAAAATAATTAATTCATGATAACTTTTTAAATGAAAAGTAGGTATTTTTTTTATAAGCATAATGAATAGAAAAAATATTAAGAATTAAATTAAAGTGAAGTAATAACAAAATAAGTTAATTGTAATAACAATAACTTAGAATGTTTTTTTTTGAACTATTGAACTTTTTTGTGGGCCACACATGAAACAAAATTTTTTGTGTCTTTTGAAAAGCAAAATTGAATTCTTCTAGAAAACTATTTTGATCATTAATTATACAATTATAAATTTAAAACTTTGTCCATTATAATGTTTAGAATTACAAAACTGCCACTGATCGTGCTCAATATGATTCTTCGAGTTGACGGTAGAGAAAGACTCTGCATTTGCATTTATATTTGTTTTGTTTGTATTTTAACTTTATTTAAGCTTTTATAGTACTACTTGATTTTTTAAGATGAAACATTTTCACTTTTAGTTATTGCAAATCATTAAAAATTAAAAATAAGAGCTTGTTCTATGTACTAAAAATTCTTTTACCTTTTATTTGAACCAGACTCAACAAAATTTTAATACCTCTCTTTCCAAAATATTTTAAAAGCCTAAAAAGTAAAAACTATAATAAATTCCACGTTAAAACCTTTCAAATCCAATCAAATATAAAATAACCACCCCTCCTTCCCAAATCCCACCCATTCCATTAATTCTTTCTCCCGTAAACCCATTTCTTTGTCCTCTCTCCTTTAGCCCTTTGCCTCTCACTCTACTTTTTTTTTCATTCATATTTTTTTGCATGTGAAAATGCTATTTTTAAAGAAAATATAAAGGTAATTCTCTACTAGGTGAGTTTGATGATTCATATTAGAACTTAAAATTTATATTATTATTTAATTTAGAGGTATTTGGTATTGTGCGAGTTGTAAAATTTAATGTATCAATATTTTTATATATTGAAGGACTTTTTCAAATTCTCACCTAGTCGTAAAATAATCTGTACCTAATCTTTGATTGAGTCATGGTAAGCATCAATTCTTTTGTTTGGTTAAGGATCATGTATTCATGTAGTCTTGATTGGAATTGAATATAACAAATTAAAGGATAATTTTACATATTAGATTGTGATCTATATCAATACAACTTAATTATTCTATACAGCAAATTGTTGAGGTCATCATTACTTTTTTGGAAAATAAAAGAAAAAAATAAGATTAAGGAAGAAATTCTAACTTGAAAATTTGTGAAACTTATTATTACAAATTTGTTTAATGTAATTTGATTTGCTTTGAATGTGTTTTTTAGTTAAATTATTCATTATTTTGAAAGCTTGAAGAAAATCAAATTCCACGGTTATTATTAAAATATTAATAATAATAATAATAATAATAATAATATAATATTATTATTATTATTATATATATATATATATATATATATA